ACTTGGATTGTGTTTCTTGTTAATTTTTCGTCGCAACGCCTTATTATTTGCAAAAAATTTGTAATTAATCTTCAGTGGGCAAAGATCAAATTGGATTTAATTTGACATTCAAGTATATTATTTAACTTGTTTTCTTCCGTCTACAATGCTACTATAACTTTCATTTACGACAGGAAATGGTACTTTTTTTCCGGTCAAAAAGTTATTTAATCAAAACTACAGCTATAAGTCATTGTAAGACGACCGAGGCAGATTAATCTTCGTACCTAACATTTAGTTAACATTAATGCGCGGTAATAAACAAGGATTATTAATACCTATTGGCAATAAAGTATGCTTGATACGAAATCGGGGATCATTGCGCTTGTCGGGAGAAATATACGATCGTACCTCGGCAGCCGGCAATTATACAAGCCTATAAATTAATTGCGTTAAAAGAAGACACTCTCTGGTAATTAGCGATTTATTTTCCGCATCGAGGAAACGTGTTCGCCACGTTAACCTTTCCCGAGTCAAACTCGTTTTTCTAGCTTTCCGCTCAGCGATCTATCCATGTTGCATATTTCATTTTGCTGCGCAGTATATGGTAAAAAATCGATCGCTTTTTCGAAGGGTCCTTTTTCGCACTCAATGAATAGTTTGCAAAAAGGTTTTGTTATGTAATTAATCGAACAAGTGTTGTTAGCTCTACATTTTTACAGGAATTTCAATTTGTCGCATTTTTTATTTTCCACTTTTTGTCCCTTCTTCGTCGAAATGATTCTGCTGTGCAGAAATGACGTTATAGATGACATATGTCAGTCGGATTATGTATGCGTCTGATATTTATTATTTATGTTTTTCCGACCGTATGCAGCATGTGAACTTAAATCGGCTTTGCTCAGTTTGTTCGATCAATCGACGTTGCACGCGAAGTGTATCAGTGTCACAAGAAATGACCGCGCAAGTATGTGGGACAGTTGATTGATCGCCGTGAAAATATTTAATGGTCGTCAATTAAGGAAAGGATTTGCCGCGATCGCCGTCGGCTCTTTTCGTTGGCGCGTTTCATCACAGGAAGTGCACCTGTAGCGCGGCTTTTTAATTCGTCGCCCGGTAAAGCCTCTTTAATGCGTCATGCCGATTCGCTATCGGAATTAGAAAGTCATCGATGCGCCGCAGGCAAAAGCGGTAAGAGAGAGAGAGAGAGAGAGAGAGAGAGAGAGA